AATTTTAAAAATTTAAATTAAATCATTTGGCAGAAAAAAAATATTTTCACGTTATTTTTGATCTTTCGGCACGATTGAGCGAGTTAATATACAGAGATTGTATTAGAATATAAAGTTTAAGCCCGCTAATTTGTTTAATTTTAAGGATAGGAGTTAAAGTTCTTTTTGCCCCCACTTTTGCTATTTTATGAAAATATTATTTTTATGCTATGCAATTATTATTAATCTGCTTGTGAGAACTCTTTTATTATCACAGATTGTTACTATTAAAATTTAGGCAAAATTTTTAATTAGTCTTTACCTGCGTTCGACGTTACTCTTGATAATAATCATTTGTTTACTTTAATAAATTCGGTTTACTCTTAACATACATAAAATTAACCAGCACTTTATGTTGTGTATTTCCTGCGTTTTCTGACGTATTCGGCTCTAAAGATTGTTAGTTTTATTACCTTCTTTTTCAAACTTTTTAAGCCGGTCTACTGACTTAAAATTCTGCTAACAAAGACATTCTAAAAGTAGGCTTTGCTTATAAACTCTCGGCATAGAGTTCTACCTTTTGAACGTTTTACGCATTTTTAAAGCCCTTTATAAATTAAGTAAGGGTGTATTTAATTTTATTTTAATCGCAGATTAAATTAAAATTTGTTTAAACGCATTTTTTCGCAGTTGTTAAGGAACTATACTTAATATGTTGTAGTCTAATTTACTTAAGAGCTTCCGAAAATATTTCACTCACTTGCCGTAAATTTTATTCAATCCTTTTAGTTTTTACTAAAATAACGATCCCTGTGACAGTATCAACTACTTCTGCAATAATTTTTTATAAAAAATTGATAGCTCCCTACGTAGTTAAGTTAAGCATTTTTTTTACATTGCTAGGCTTCCTTCGAGTAACCTCTAAGAAATCAATAAAAACCCTTTGTGACGAGGTTTGAAATGCACATTTTCGTTACAGTAAATATGCGAACGGCCTTTAAAAATAAAGGGGATTCTACCGTCTACAGTTTGTAAAAAGTTTTGTTAGTGTATAATACTAAGACTTATATTTTAGTTTACATTTAGCATTCATACTATATATTATAATAGCGAAGAAACTCTTTATTAATTTTGCTTTGTTTTTTAACGTAAAAAATTTGCTTTAATAATCTTTTTCGCGTTGTCTGCCTCTTTGATGTCAAAATCTGTACAGTTTTAAAAATCCGTTTCACTTCTTAAAACATGGGCGAAGGCTGTTTGCTATACTCGGAAACTTGAAATTTTACATGTTTCTATAAAAGCAAAGCAATTCTAAGTCTAGAAAAATAAAAAAAATAACACTTTTTACTATTAGAAATCCGGGTGAACCTGATATAAATATTTTTATTAAAAAGAAAAGTAGTCTCTTCTATAAATGTCTTTGATGTAATTTTTTAGCGTCTAAATATACCGTTCCTCGAAATACTCTAACCAGGTCAGTTAGTGCTGGGCAGGAAATTTAATTACGTAATTGTTTGGCGTTTTGCCAAATCAGAAGCCAATCATGTTTGATACCCTACCACGCCAAGAAATGGTCGCTCTCCTTAAGGAAGCAGGAAATTTTTTATGAGAGTATCATATCATAACATATCCTCTTACCTTTTTAAAAGATTAAATTATTAACTCCATTTCGTTATAAGCAATTTACTATTAAATATATTGATAGTGGTCAATATTGGGTGTTCAACAATTTTTTCTTGGGGGGAGGGGGTGAACTCGAACCGGAGCGATTGGAACTCTTAATCTGTTAGAATTCCCTTTAAGTCAAAGTCAAACAGATGCCACCTTAAGGGGGCTGATGGATGTAGGAAGAAATCTCTCTTCCCTTACTTCTAATTGTTCTTCTCTCCCTTTCCCTCTCTTTTTCTCCTCTTCTATTTTCCCCTACTCCCTTCTCTGCCCCCCACCCTTAACCTTATTTAAAAAGGTTAACAATCTCGATTAATTATTAATTTAATATTGTTGTTTTTGTGCGTATATTAAAACATATACCATCATATAGCAATCTATATATTAAAATTAACTGCTCTTGAGAGAGTATACTTTAAACGGTTACTTAATCTTTTATAAGCTATTCTCATATGCTCAGCTCAAATATTGAAGTTTTTGGTGTATAACTTTTATTATAAAGTATTAATATAACAACTTTATTTGTGTTTGCAAGAAATCAACTTTTGTATGTTAATATTTAAACGCCTGAATATATGAAAATATATTTTACTAGAAGTAAATTACTTTGTTTAGAAAAAATTTAATTTTTAAGGTAAAAAAAATAAAAGCAAACTATGAGTTATTTTTAAAAATTATAAAGAAAAAACCTTTTTAGTAGCGCAGGAAAAGTATGGCGAGGCGCCCTCGAGGGCTAAAGCCTTTACGGAGTGAGAATACTCCTTTTCTTGAATTCTTGATTCTCTAAATTGCTCACGCTGATCTACTATTTTATTTTTATTTAAAAAAAATTAAAAATTTAAGATGATAAATATTAAACAACTTTACTTTTTGATTGGAAAAAATCGTATAAAAGATTATAAAGGCTTTATATAATAAAAGAATTCACGTTTTTATTCAGTAAAGTTGTAAAATATTTCCATTAACTTTTAAATAAAATTAAGTTTTTCTCTCAATATAAACACTTTTTGGGTAGACTTAAATAAAACTTGTAAAAAAAAGTAAAAATTAGATAAATTCAAAAAAAAGATCCATTTTATGAATTTACCTTCACGTAGAAATAATTCTTTTATGCTTTCTCTTTCAATTTCCTTTATATATAAATAATTATAAAATCTTCTAAATTTAAAATAGTAAATTTAAAGTTTTAAAAATAATAATCATAAAGTAAAAAAAGTACAATTATAAATCGTAAAAAACTAAATAAGTTAAGTTAATGTAAATAAAGTTTTTTATAATAAATATAAAAAGTATTTAAAATAATAATTTAATCCAAAATGTTATAATATTTTTTTTTTTCAGTAAAGTTTGTTATTATAATTAAAATATACGCTGCGATAAACAAAAACTTCTAATTAAATATTAAGAAATATTAAAAATTTTAATAACAAGTTTTTAAAAAGTATTGTAAATGCAAATTCTAATAGAAAAAATATTAGAAAAATTTCTATAAAAATATAAAGATTAATAATTAAAATTAAAGTCAAGAGCAAAAATTTAAAGTAAAAGATAACAAGAGATAATTAAAACAGTAAAAAGTAAAGAAAAATAGATAATTTTGAAAAGCTGAAATAAATAAATTAGTGAAATACAAATTATTAAAATAAAAGAAAAGGCAAGCAATTCTTGTAAGTAAAAGTTAGACTATAAAAAAGTCATAATAATATAAATAATGAAAAAAAATTCTTTAAAAATAAATTAAATCAAAATTAATTATAAATTATAAAACGTTAATTTTTAAGTAAGATTATATCAATAATAAACTTTAAAATAACTTGAAAAGTCAATATAAACTTTTTATTATTAATAATGTAAAATTTACTTATTAATAATATATAGAAAAGAATTATAAAATAAGAAAATCAAAAATAATATATATTTAGCGATTCCAATAAGATAGAAAAACTATCAACGATCTACTTCAAAATAGTAAGTCAGTGTAAAGTATATAACGGCTAAAAATAGTAATAACTAAGTTACATTAATATAATAATCTCAACTACTTTAAATTTTGACCTGAATTAAATTTAAGTAACGATTTAAAAAGTAGACCTCTTAAATCTGTAAAAAAAATATTTTGAACTGTAAAAGGAATTATACATAAAGCAAAATTACAAAATTAATTTAAATCATAAACAAAAACTCCGAGAAAGTATATAAGAATATATAAATTAAAGTGTAAAAGGAATGTTAAAAAGAACGATAACAAAAATAATAGTAAATTTGAGTAAATTCTAAATTACTGCATTAAAATTTACTAATAGTGCAAAATTATATATAATTATGACTAATTTTTTAAAAAAAGTATAAATAAAATTAAAAATATATAAAAAAAGTAAACAGAATTTACAGATAAGGCAAAGTTACGTGCATCTCGTCTTTATTATTGTGGCAGTAACTCAGTTTTAAAAGTGGATGTTCCTTTAATTTCTGCCCATTCCAAAGCCTTGAACATAATAAAATTCATAAAAAACTAAAAAAAATATTTGCAAAAAGTAAATTTTATAATTTTTTTTAATTAAAAATTAGCTTATAGTAAATAGAAAATTTATAAAAAAATTAAATAAAATCAATACAGTAAAACTTTATTATTATGATTATACATAAAATAAGTAATAATACAAAAAAAAGTTGATCAAAAAATAATATAAAATCAATATATATAAAATTCCTTTAAGTTTTAATTTTAAACTTCAGATTTATTAAAAATTTTAAAAATGCTTTGAATTATTAAAGTCTGTAAAGTATTTTCTATTAAATTTATTGTTAAACATAGTAAACTTAAAAGTTTATAATATACTTATAATAAAAGTTATTATTTATAAAAGTAAATTAAAATTAAAATAAATTAAATTAACAGAATTAATTATTAAAAACTAAAAGGTTATATTTTAAAAATTTATATAACGTTAATTATAGAAAAAAATAATCAATATAAAAAAGTTATACAATAAAATACTAAATAATAATATTATATAAAAATAAAAAGTGATTTATAAAAATTTTTAATAAAATTTAAAGAGGTAAAAAGTTTTGTTAATTCAAAGTTTAATTAATTCGTAAAATAATAAAAAACTAGAAATAAGGTTCATGTAGTTAATATTTATATAATAACATTACTGATTTGATTTTAAAAATTAGAATATATCGATGCTTTATAAGAATAATTAATTCAGTTAAAAATTTATTGTGTGCTGAAGATTCTAAGGTATAAAAAAATCTATTCATCCTTATTATAATATTTAATAAATTTAGAAACTTGATCCCAATCAAATTAATCATAACAAATAAAGTATATAAAAGTGAAAACCTAATAAAAAATAATTTAAAAAATTAAATATATATAAAATGAAAATTACGAATTATTATAAGTAAAAGTATTATAATTATAATTTATTATAAAATTAATAAATTAGAAAGATTTTATAATTTATTTGACTTTCATTAAAGATAATAAATTTTAAGTAAATTTATTATTAAATTAAAATTTTTAAAATTCAATTTTTCTTTTGTTATTCTAATTTTTGTCTTTTTTCTAATCTTTTTAATACCTAAAAATCATAATAACTCAAGCGAAAAACGTAAAAAGTTATAATAGTTATATATAAATTTTTAAAATTTTCCAAAATGATAAGTAAAACAGTTTTGAGAAATATATAAAAGTTGATAACCCCAATTTTAGATTTAATTAAATAATTTTATCCCAAAAAGATTATAAATTCTTTATATCTTTATAATAATTCATTAAAAATTGAAACAACACATCAAGCTGATAAATTTTAAGCGTGTAGCAAAAGTTATTAATTATTTTAAATGTAATTTACAAATATAAGAATTAAAATAATTTCCAAATATATTTTGCTGTAAGATAAACTTTGCATAATTTTAAATAACTCAATTTGTAAAAAAAATTAATTAAATTAAAATCTAAAGTTATTATGTAAATTCTATTAACATTTAAAAACTTTTATTATAAAAAATAATATAATATATTTATTAAAGATCTTAACAACTTTAAAATATGTAAAAAAGTAAAATCAACAGGAATATTGTTATTTCTAATTACAAAAGCATATAATAAGTAAATCCAAAAGTAAGTCAAAATTTCTGAAATTTTTTGCTAGTAAAAATAAGTAAAGTATAATAAACATTTAAATTATAAGTGAAAAAAGTAAATCTTAAAATGTACAACGATGTTTAAGCAAAGTACAGAAAGGCAAAAAAAAAGTTAAATTATAAATGTTAATATTTTTAAAATTTTAAGTTGGGTTAAAAAAATATTAATTTACTTCTTTTTCTCCACATTTAAAAACTAAATAAAATTATAAAATATAATAAATTAAAATATTAAACAGTTGAAGGATATATTGAACCATAAAGGAGTACAAGAAGGCACAGAAACGTGAGTTAGTTTTTCAACAAACTTAGATTCTGAGTGCTCCATAGAATTAAACCTGAAAAAAATTTTATAGATTGTAAATTATTTTGATCTTTTAAAAACCTTAAAAACTCATTAATTCTAGATGGAGCATCCCATTTTTGAATTTTTCTTAAGCACATTACTAGAAGCCCAGTCACTTGAGTGCCTATGAATAACAATTTTAACTGAAATAATAGATATTGAAAGGGTTAAGCAATAATGCTTAACTAATTAATATTATTATTTTTATGTAAAATAATATCGATAAATACTTCAACAAGTTAGCAAAAGGTTTTTTTAACGTTGCGATTAGTTAAAAAGAAATACTAATAAAATATCGTATAAATAAGTAATTTTTTACCTTCAAGGCAATGTAGGTATAAAGGATGATTGGCACTGTCCAAAATGAAATATATAATTTCACAGACCGTCTCAATAGTCACAGTTATCTCATCTTTAAAAGGTTTTATTTGGAAGTGCACATTGTCTATTTCTTTACAAAAAGTTATTATGATATATATTACTCTTCAGGTCGCAAAAATAAATTAATAAAACTTTGACTATGACAAAAGTTGCTTAAATCTTGACAAGGAATTGCGGGCGTCAAGGAGAGAATGGTTTTTAATTTTAAACGTTTTAAAAAGGAAAAATTCTGGTAAAAAAAAGTTAGCTTTATAAATTTAAACTGTAAACATATAGCATTTAAAGAAAGGAAGTACTAAGAATATTGAGCACTGAAAAGTGAAATTTGCAATAAATTTAATTATTTCCTACATATGAAGTAGGATATGCTCCACGGTAAAGACCATCTTCTACCATTGAAAAGCGAAAAGGGGGCACTACAAACTGGTTGCTTTTCATTTAAAAAAGGAGAAAAGGCTACCTTTTCTATAAAAAGCAGTTAGTTCCTACGAAGTCCTTGCTTAAATCTATAACTATATTCCGTTTTTTAAGGAGAACGTTTTCGAAAAATTCATTGAACACTAAGTGTTCGAGCGAGTCAACAAAGTTTGAAAACTCGAGCTCATAAATACAATGGATCCCCTACTTAGCTTCACATGGGGCTTATTATCATATGGTGTAAAGGTCTCAGCCCTTCTTTGTTCTTCTTCTACAAGATTTTATGGTGGTAAACTGCTGTCTCAGAGTATACCTAAAAATTAATACTTACTGAGCCTTTTAAACCATTAGAGGGGACTATGATAGCTAATATAAGTAGTCTCAACAATAGTTCTAAAAAACTTCCATGTAGAATCTCATTCTTTGCAGCGGATCGACTACAAACTTCTCTAGAAGCGAGTCACGTGAATGGTGGTTTCGCGCCCTACCTCAAAGTTGTGATTAAGTTCCTCTACCTATAAACATTTAGCGTGCTCAGTTACTTGTTCGTAAAGGGTGGTGGCATTGCATTTAAAGGCTATCAACCGTTTTATCTGAAGGTCAAGGTGCAGAGTAGTGACGTGCCGCAGTTTGTTTTATTGCACATGAACCGGAGGTTATTAACGGTAAGCCAAGCATTCAAGCAACGGACACGTACATTATAATCGGCTGAATGCATAATTCATGCAAACTTCAGCTCTTGTTGTACGGTAGAAAGTAAAACATTTGAGTCGCCACCCCAACCTGTTTTCAATATTTGGTCCATATTGATGAAGTTTATGGTAACCCTTATTTAGTTCCTTGGGCCACCACGGAACTTACTTGTTAAAGGTCAAGGCGGAGTACAACTGTGTTTTTTCGTCTTAAATAGCTTCTTGCTGTGCGTCACATATAGAAGCGGTCTTATTGATGGCATTAATCAGCTAAATGATGAACTGGTAGATCAACGTATCGTCCGTGTATAGGGGAACCCGCATGTTAAGAGAATAACCTCCAAAAGTAGATCACAAATATAAGTGCATATAAAAGAGGGGGAGAAAAGATAATTTTGGGTACGCAACCGCTGTAAACTGCCGTAGCAGTGACAGGTGACGGAGCAGAACCTCTCACACTCTGAGAGCGCAGCCATCCTTGCCTGACTGAAGCACAGCTTAAAGATCAGGTGGGATCGAAGGGACATGCAGCATATATGCAGAATTTTATACTGCAGTCGACCCAAAGTTTTCTCGACGTCAAAGAAAAGTGCGCCAGTTGCCTGTTCGTCGCCTATCTTTATTTCCACGCTCACGTTCTGCTCTTTCTTTGGCAAACCTGGGTCTCCATTAACTTTTTTGTTGCTAACATTTTTTTGAAAACTGTAGTGTTAGAGATAATTCCATCAAATTTTCTAGTACCGTTGTTACTGCTATTATTACTAATTCATATATTATTGCTACTTACATCCAAAATCTTATTTTACAATTATTATTAATAATAACATTATTACTTTCAGTACTGCTGCTCTATTGCTATCCTTTGTAACATTTTTTTTCAATTTCACAAATCGTTAATTAGATAGGGATTAGAATAAAAACTAATAGCACTTCCGATAGACTAATTTTTTTTTTTTAAATTGAAGCTACCTTCTCTTAACCTTTTTAAAGTTCTCTGTTATGAGTTAATAGGTTTAAAATTATCTCCTGACCATTAACCTGCAAGAGAGAGAAATCCAAACTTTAAAGTTGCTTTTTATTTTTAATTAAATGTTAATCATAATATGAAACTAATACCATTAATACTAAAGAACAACTAACTTAATAAAACTACTTAAATTGTAAAAAGATAATCATATTAGATTCAATAAACTGCTTAGCAGTCTACAAATTCATGAACTATTTTCAAGTTTTTCTTTTAAGTTGAATTCCCACTTTAAAAAACTAAACCTTTCATCTCTAATTAAAAAAAAGTAATAAAATATTGCACCAAGAAATGAGTCATCTAGATTAATGATAAAAACAGTGTTTATTAGATTAACATATTTTTTTTATTGCAATAAATAAAAACTTTTGGTATAGCTAATAAATATAGTCGAACTGAAGTGTCGCTGCATTTTGTTTTCCTTTTCCTAATGCTACTTCTTTGATTTTGTTCTCGTAAATTATACCTCAATTGAAAAAAAACGGATTACATTAAAAATTTTTTTAAAGCAGAGAGGTTGATGAATAGCAACACTGGTTAGAATTGTTCTTCGTAACAGTATTTTAAGTATGAACCCCATGAAGCTTGGACATCAATCAGTCGTGGCAATGGCAAACCCGTTACCACTAACTCGTGAACTTTGGTTACAAAGGCTAATTAATTTGGCAATACTGCCGTTTAAGAAAGGTTTATAACATATAACTACTAATTAGTGAGTTATACGAGTGCCTTCTCGGAGGAGGGAAGGCGTAAACGGAATTAATGGCGTTAGCTTTTGCTTTAGTATATATCCCAACTATTTTTTACGGTAAAGAGATGAGCTTCTCACAATACTTTATAATTAAAAGTCTCTGGCTAACGTGGACAGTGTCCCTGACGACATCCATCGAATTGGGTCTAGTGGGTTATATATATTTAGTACTTCTATTTATATTGCGCGGAGGCCGCCGGTGTTCTCGCGATCTAGTTGAAAAATGAGGTTCGAGTCTGGGGCAATGTCCTACTTTAATAAAAATATTACTAGTACACTACATAGGGCCCTACTTCAGTTTAAAAGTTATTAATTTTTTTAGTTTATTATACAAATACACCTACATAGTTTTGTTACCATTATAATCTGATCCTTATTTTCTGTCGGTGCCGTTGCAAAGAGTTTACTGAGAATTAGATATTAGCAATACTATATAAAGAAACATACATATCGCTAAGAAATGAAACTAACAAACGTTGAAAAAATATTTAATAGACTTGTTGCTTTCTTAAACTGGCAATAACTATTCTAATGACCTAAGTTTATTAAAGATTATTTAGTACAGAAACTAAGTATTATTTACTAATAAAACTAATTCAGCGACGCCCCCCAAAGCAAGAAGCAGACCACCCCATAACCACGTGATAAAAAAAGATTTTCAAGCCGTCTCTGGCTACTTTACATAGAAAATTTTCAACTTACCTCTACATGCACTTACTAATTTTATTTCTCATGTACAAGGCATCAGCAAGAACAAAAACTAGTATTTTACAAAAAGGAAGTGTTTAAAGCTTTGTCACGATGTGGTTTTTACTCAAAGTCTAAAAACAGACTACTAAATTTTAAATAAACAATTAGACATGCGCAATGGCTAGAAAATTCAATATTTCTCATATGCGTTGTTTCATTCTGCTTCTAATTTAATGGAGCTTAACTCGGATATTCTGTGTTATTTTGTTAAATAAAGTAACAAGCAATAAATTATCCCTGATATATCTTTTAAAAATAGACCATTATAAAACCCTAAGTTAAAGGTAAAGGGCTTTAAAGAAATGCTTTTTTTGATTACGTAGCCAACCTGGGCTAAAACTTTAAAAGTTAAAAAATAAATTAATAAAAACTTGTTGCCCTCCCAAACACCCCTTTCCTGAGGTTTAGCCAAATATTTTCGCTGTTCATTGTAATAACGCATTAACTTAGAAGTGTCACTTTGTCTCACAAGATTAGGGTATGCAATCCGGCACGGGATTGAGCTTTGTGGTTTCGCAGGATTCTCGAGTCGAACTCGCTGGATCAACAAAATTTACTTGTTTTTCTAGTTTTTGTTACAGCCTGTAATGACAGGAATAAAAAATTTTTAACTTCTATTTTGCTAATTTGAAGGTTCTCTTTATATTATTAACTACAAGAGAAAAAAATTGAAAAGAAAAATTATAGCTGAAAAGATCTTATCCTACTTAGAAGTAATCCATTCCTTAAAAAGTAGCAACATTTCAGAAACCACCAAAAAAAATTTTGAAAATTATTAATGAAAAGATAAAATGAAAAAACATCAAAGGGGTTAATTAAATTTTTTTTCAGTGGGTAAATTAATGATTTCAAAAATAGGATTTTAAATAAAACTAATGTCTAAGGTGTCCTCAATCATACGATAATGAACGTTTACATTTAAGTAGCGTCGGTTTCTTTTAGAGGTTCATTCGTCTAACATTAATGAAAATCTACGATAAAGGTGTTATAAATACAATTGAAATAAAATGAAATGGAAAAAAAAAATTACCTATGATTTTGGCGAAGCAATGCAAGAATTGCCTCAACGTAGTTTTCATATTTCATTACTATATTTCTAAGTATGGGCTGGATCCGGTAAACTATGTCCCGATTTAGCGTATAACTTCCTTAAATCCGTCGAGAGTAATAAATGATTTAAATTTTAATGCAACCATTCGCGTTATCATCATCTCAGTACTTTCGTTTTTATGGGACGGAAAATAATTCTCCAGATCCCTTTTTTTTGGTCGAACGAGTGATGTCGGCTCATCAAAATCGTCATTCGGATTTATTTCCAAATTCGGTCCCTTCCAATACTACTGGACGGCGTTAATTCCTTTGTAATTTTTAAATCGATCATATGAACGGAATTCAAATGAGTACGTGACCCTTTTATCGACCTAGCACTCAAGTTTATAACTCCGGAACATTTTTTGCACGAACATCCTTTGCATTTTGCGGTTTTTTTATCCTTACTTTTTAAAAAAAATTCCAGGGGGATGCCGGGCCCGGAACCACTTACTCA